ACAGATTATTTTATTGGTAAAGGGTTGGCAGAGCTCAGTCATAAGAGCAAAGATATGGCCAGGGATGATTGTGGAGCAGATCACCAATTGTTATGTGCAAGTTCTAAGTTATGCTAAGCAGAAGAGAGCTAACCACTTTGCATGATATGGTCTTATGCATATATGTTCCATTTTCAAGGAAAACATCAGAATCCCTTGGAAGTCCTGAACCTAATGGATAAGGAACTAGAGAACTGTGAAATGAACTTAAAGTAGCTGGTAAGGATGAAGGCAAAAAGAGGTTGTCAAAGGTAATAAAACAGAAGAAAGCAAACTAAATGTCAGAAAAAAAGCATGGAAATTGCCAGGAAGAATAGAGAAGCCAAAGCATATGAAAAACAAAGAACTTGGGACAGAATGTAAAAATAAAATTTCAGAAAACTCTTCTGAAAGAGACAGGAGCAATACTATCACATTTGTAAAGACACCAGAGATGGAAACAGATATTAAAAAAACCAAGGAAAGTCTTCTAAAATTCCAGTCTCTAATTGGTATGCTAAAGGAAGTCAATGGCAGATAACTAATGTAAAGAAGCTCAAATAAGATAGGAGTACATTGAAAATTTATACAGTAGAGATGTCAACACCCAAGATGTCTTAAAACAGGGGTCCCCAATCCCTGGGCTGTGGCCCACTACTGGGCCACAGCCTATTCGGAATTGGGCCGTGTGGGTGGCTGGCCAGCACTCAGCTCAACTTGCATAAGTTGGCAGGCCAGCGGGCAATCACACACATGCACACTAGCCCACCACTCATGCGTGCCAGTTCTCTTCTCTGCCCCAGCCAGGCTGTCAAACTGCAAAAGTTAGGGACCGCTGCCTTAAAAGATATTCCTTATTTACAACTACTAGAAGATAAAACTAGATTGGCACTTTGGTTATTATGAAGTCAGAAGACTATAGGAATTAATGAAATATCTATAGAAATATGGCAAGCAAAAGGGGAATAATCAATAAAAGTTCTAACCAAACTATGCCAGCAGATCTGGAGAATGACACGTGGTCAACAGATTTGGGAGAGGTCAGTCTACATATCATTTTTAAAGAAAGAAGATTTAACAGAGTGTTCAAACTATTATAAATTATCTTTAATATCACATTGTAGCATAAACAATTGCTTAAGATTATTTAATGCAAAACAGAGTACTACAGGGGAAGGGGAGATGCCAGATATTCAAGCTGGTTTTAGAAAATGCAGAGGAACATGACACATTATTGCTGATACATACTGAATAATTGAGAAGGACAAAGAATACCAAAAGAAGTCAGTGTGTGTTTCATTAACAATAGAAAGGCCTTTGATTGTGTCAACCATGTCAAACTGGAATGTGCTTAGGAAAAGGAAATCCCAGAACATCGTTGTTCTCACCCATGTACAGAACAAGTAGCCACAGTGTATAGCAAAAGAGATTGTCTGCAGTCAGGAAAGAAGTGAAGCAAGGCTGTATTTCCTTCCTTCCTTCCTTCCTCCCTCCCTCCCTCCCCTCTTCCTCCCTCCTTCTGAATATATATTGAGGAAGACTAAATTGGAAGAAAATGAGAGTGGTTTCTAAACTGAAGGAAGAAATATCAATGCCCTGTGGTACACTGATAACATTACACTGATAACTCACCCCTTTCCTATCTTGTGTATCGGTTTACATGCACAAAATCATTTTGTGCCACTTGAGCCTATTCCTTGACTGAGAGGACTGCTCTCAGTCACTGGTGCCTTAGTCACTTTCTATCTGGACTACTGTAATGTGCTTACATGGGGCTGCCCTTGAAAAGCATTTGGCAGCTTCAAATAGTCCAGAAAGCTGTGGCACATGCAGTTTTGAATGCACTATGATATGCCAATGTAACATCAATGCTATGTGAGCTGCTCTGTTTTCCAGTAGGTTTCTGAGTGTAATTTATTGTACTGGTTATTGCCTTTAAAGGACTAAATGGCAGGGGCAGATTACTTGTAGGATTGCCTGTCTCTAGTAGTTTTGGTTCATCCCACCAGATCTGGCAGAGGGGGCATGCTCTAGTGAAGGGATTGGCCATACCTTCTCTTTGGGGTACCTGCCCTATGAAACAGCCCCCCTCTGAGATTTGGATGGCCCCAACCCCACTGGCCTTTTAGAACTTGGTTTTCCTCCTAGGTGTTGGAGCCCAGTATGTGAGCTTGTGGTTTTGTAGGAGATGACCAGGCTGAGCCCGAGGGAGGGGTCAACACATCATCAGTCATGAGTCCCTCAATATCCACAAGAGATCTAAGTCCAGAAATCTTTATACCCATTTGAACTGTCTGGATTTCCTAATTTTCCTGGCACTTGACAGGTTTATGTTTTAGAGATTTTGTAAGGGTGCCTTTAATTGGTTGCCTTTTATTTTTTATACTATGTTTATGCTTTTTTTTTGTTAGCCACCAAGAGGTATTGATTAAAATTGTTGCTATATACATTTTAATAATAAAATAATTAAAAAATAAACACACAATGAAGATACTAAAGAAGTGGATGGCTTCAGTGTTTATGATTGATATCAACAGTAAAGGAACAACAAGTGAAGAAATAGCATACAGATGAGCAATTGCAGCTTAGCAATGAAGGACTTGGAAAAGATATTCAGATGCAGTGACATGTCTGTATCTACAAAGATCAGAATCATGTAGGCAATAGTTTTCCTCTGTCACTCTAAGGAAGTAAAGTGATGCTTCTGAACTGTGGTTTTGAAGAAGACTCCCAAGAATACCATGAATGGCCAAGAAAATAAACAAATGGACCATAGAACAAATTAATTCAGAGCTCATTTGAGGTACAAATGATCAGGCTCAAATTATCATATTTAGAGACATTATTCGAATAAGTGTATAATATGGAGAAAGGTGGAAGGAAATAGATAAACAGGTTTGATTCCAGAAGCAATGGGTACACAATGGTAAGATTTGAAGGGCTAGTTTAGGAACTAATAACCAAAGCAGGTCTATCTATGTGGTAATTAAACCCTGACATAATTTGATGGCATATAATTAATCAACCAACCAATCTAATGGCAACAGTTCTGCCTAATCAAATTAGCAATAAATTTTGTCAGATTCTCAAGGTCTTCTTGTTTGGAGAAGTCAGTAGATATTTCATGCACTCTTTCCTTTCACGTTTGGTAAGTGGATTTGATCCCTGTTTGAAATAGTAAAGTAGTAGTAATATCTGTTATCTGTTTGGATTTTGTTTTTATTTATTTGTCAAATTTACTGTATATAGATACCCGTTTGTCCAATGATAATTTGTCTAATGATAGCTTAATGATTGTGATAATAATTTTTGAGGGCACTGAGTTTCATACATATGTGTAACTTTAGTACCACTAACACGATCACTGCTTGCTGATGGGATTTCTGTTGTAAAATAGAACAAGGAATTTTACAAGTGTCCATATATCATTGTCTTCCACTTGGAAACCATTCCTCTATATTTTTCTACCAATCTCATCAGAGAAAATCCATTAAGTAGGAGAAGGTAGATTGATTGTGCAGAATATTTTTATTGGGAGCACTGTGACCATATGATGTGACAGCATCCTCTAGGACAATGGTGTCAAACTGCTGGCCCGCGGGCCGGATGCGTCACACCAAAACCACACCCACCCCATTGGCAGCAATAGGAAAAAGTCGCGATACATCATGGCACGTCATGTGACGTCGCAAGTTTGACACCTGTGCTCTAGGACTATGTATTTTATTATCATGGGACTATATCCGTACTGATGTTACTGCATGGGCAGCAACTTTCTTAGTTCTATTTAAACTAAATGAAATGCAAAACTGTGTTAGGTTCCTCTCACTTACTTTATTAGTAAAGATATTCCCTTCAGTGCAGTCAGTAATTTTTCCCCTCTGTCTCTTGATATTTTTCTGGAATATAATGGTGAATCTAGGGATGGATTATAATCAAAGAGATTATGCAAGTTGCTCTGAGCTCTTAACTTCTGATGCAATTGAAAGAAAAGAGCTTTTATAATTTAATGATAATCTGAGCACTTGTGATATATTATAAATCATCACAGAAGGAGAATTAGGCCAGATTTTAGATCTGAATAAACTACTTTCCAATAATTTCAGGATTTCATATTAGCAAAGTAAGTAACATGGATCTATGGTCTGAGCATCAGATTACATGCCAGGTACTACTATTTTTTACTGATAAAAGGAGCCTCAAAATGTACAAGGTAAACCTCAATGCTATGATTTTTGGACACGGAAAACAATGATAACAATATATATGCTACCAAGGTACTACAAGAATTAATTAGCTGTGTTTTGCCAAGGCAAAAATGAATTTAATTATAATCTAGAGCGGTAGCTAAAATAATTTCACCAGGATCACCAGAGGACATTAATGTCTCAGCATATGATTTTAAGGTAGAACAATAGTTTGTTACTACACGTTTGACTGTTTTCTTCCTGATCAGAACTTTAATCCCCCCCATATAGTCTTATCCACAGAGTAAAGTTAAAAAAAATTCCTTGATGATTACTGAAGTCTAAAACAAGTAATAGTTTTGGCTATAACTAAAAGCATGGAAACCTTGGAAAGTCTCTGTCACTCAAAGTAAAAAATGTAGATCTGTATAGACCAATAATCTGCATCTCCATTGCAATAGCAGTAGCACTTAGACGTATATACCGCTTCATGGTGATTTACAGCCCTCTCTGAGTGGTTTACAGAGTCAGCATATTGCCCCCAACAATCTGGGTCCTCATTTTACTGACCTCGGAAGGATGAAAGTCTGAGTCAACCTTGAGCCGCTCAGGATCGAACTGCTGACAGCAGAATTAGACTGCAATACTGCATTCTAACCATTGCGCCACCATGGCTCTTTCCATAAGTAAATGGCTAACAGTGTATGTATGTAAATGCCTAAATCTCTGTGATTTATATATATCTTATTGAAACTTTTAATTTTTGTCTCATTTCAGGGAGTGTAAGAGCTGAAGATGAGGCCCAGAGCAGAGTGCTATTCTTCAAAATTCTGGCTTATGCTGGCAGTCTTAGCAACAACAGGTGGTATGGCTTGGGCTCAAAAGAACCATCCCAGCATTGGCATTGCTGTCATCTTGGTGGGTACCTCTGATGAAGTAGCTATCACAGATGCCCACAAGAAGGATGATTTCCATCACCTCTCTCTCATTCCTCGGGTGGAACTCGTTGCCATGAATGAAACAGATCCCAAGAGTATCATCACCCGCATCTGCGATATAATGTCTGAACGGAGGGTGCAAGGTGTGGTATTTGCTGATGATACTGACCAGGAAGCTATTGCCCAGATCCTGGACTTCATTTCTGCCCAGACCCTCACACCCATTCTAGGAATCCACGGAGGCTCTTCTATGATCATGGCAGACAAGGTAAATTATAGGTTATTGCACTGCAAATTCTAAGGGTTGTTTTCCATTATGGTCCTGGATAATATCTGGTGATGGTCAATGTTCCCATTATAGATGCCATAGGATGGAGTTTATATCAGTGCAGCAAAAACTGTTTTTATCTTACTATTCATTTACCAATGCAACAATTCACAAAATTACACCATAGATAGATGGATAGATAGATAGAATTAGAGCAAGAAAAAATATGCTACTGATTTGAAAATTATCTAGAGAGAACATTAAAGATCTTGATTTTTCCAAGTTTTACAAAGTTGCTGGCTGGGAAGCCATTGCTCATAAATTTTGAAGAAGTTTTATTATTTTTTAACAAAATATCTCAGATTATCTTCATATAATGTTTAACTTAAAAGATATGAATATATGAATTACAAGAATGCTATCAGTGCAGAGCTGACTGAATTGATTAGAGGAGAAAAACATCATGACTGATAATTTACATATCATAGATCTGAATCTATGTAATCTAAATCATGGCATGCTATGAACATATGTATATCAGCGTATTCTAGAAAAATTTGGTAAACTCCCTTTTTTACATTCTAATATAATTTTTGCCCCCTTTATTATATTAATCCTTCTAAATTAATTTGTAGTGAGACTAATCTCTTCATTAAGTAAGGTATCAGTTCTTACAATTACCTATTCTATTTTTCTGCTATAGTTTCCTTGGATTGGACCTTTCTGTGGTATGAATGATGATATACACAGTATAGAATTCTATTTCCCATTAGCAGAACTAACGTTGCCCTCTTGAGATTGGCCATCAGGCAATGGTAATTCTAGGTACTGGCATGATGTTTTTGTATGAAGAAATGGCAACTCTGTAGATCTATAGAAGTAGGTAATGTCAGTTGTCTCTCTCTCTTGGTCATATTCATAAGATCGAGCATACTGTCTATCCTCTCATGTTAAGCATAAATGGAAGATATAAAGCCAGTTTTCAACAGTCTGCAAAGTAACTCACAGAGGCCCCGTTCCCCCCCCCCCATCAAGTTGGTTACACAGATGATGGGCTGTAAGAATGTTTTCTTCCTCTCATTCCCCTTTGAAGTGTCAGTTTAGTTGTTTCTATGGTGGCTAGAACTGCTACTGGCTAGTCAAGCCCTTTTTTTTTGCAAATAGAAGAAAAGTAGCATTAAGCTCAGATATTTTGTCTCAAGAACTCATTTGGATTTGGGGTGAAGGAATTTCTTTATAGTATGATGATGAGAATAGTGGGATTAAAGTAGTTAGAATGGTGGCATATGCAAACAGGAAAAACTTTCATTTTAAAAAATGGACAATTACAATTAGTAATTGAAATGGCAGCATTTGTGATTTCAATTATTAATGGAGGTAAAACATAGCTTTGTAGTTATCAATGGCTTTTATTTGTATTAGCTACAGTTTGCTGACTCTGGAGAAAGACATGGAGCTAAAGTCCTTTGGTCTTGATTCAGACTTAATAAAAGGAAAACTTAAGTTGTTTGCCAGAGAATTTTTATGCTATCACTGCTCTTTAAAACAGCTTTAGAAACTTTTCAGATTAAGTATACAAATTGTCCAATTGTACATCTAGAAGTCATATATTTCCGCCCCAATTAAAGGAATCTAGGGAAACTTTTGCTTTATTCAGTTTGCCTTGACACTTTGTTCTATACAATAGGGCTTTTCAACCAGTGGTACGGGTACCACCTGTGGTACATTGGCACCTGGCAGGTGGTACGCAACCATCCTAGAAAAGTGGTAGTGGGAAAGGGGAATGAGCTGAACCGGTGGCAGCACCGCACAAGCCTGAGCGAGAGATGGCTGGAGCTGCAGGGCTGTCAGGGCTCAGCGGAAGTGCCAGGATCAGCACTTCTTCGGGGCTGTCAGGACTCAGTGGAAGTGCCAGGATCAGCGCCAGGCTCCAGCTGGAGCTCAGTGCTGATACTGACGCTTCTGCTGAGCCCAGAAGAAGCGCCGATCAGCTGGAATGTGGCAGCATCTCCAGGGTCTTGTGATTTACGTTCAGATGCTTGGCAACTGATTCATATTTAGGACGGTCACAGTGTCCCAGGGTCAGGTGAAGTGACCAAAACCTGCTGCAACCACCCAGCAGATGGGGGGAATAAAAACCAAACACCTCCCATCCCCACCCCAGCTGCCAATCCTCAACAGAAATGCTCACAACAATGAAAACCTCGGATAGGAGGAAGAGTGCCGCCGGGTGGGCAGGCAGGTGTCTTGCTTGGCTGTGGCTTGGGGGGCACTTTTTCAGTGCCATTGTAACTTCGAACAGTCACTAAGCAAACTGTTGTAAGTCGAGGACTACCTGTACTTTATCACTTTTTTCCTTTTTTTGGGGGGGGGTCATCAAGTTTTTGACACTTTGCTAGGCGACTGGTGGTACTCAGATATTGCCATATCCTAAAAGTGGTAAAATTGGTGAAAAGGTTGAAAAGCCCTGCTATACAAGATAATTTGACTGAGGACTCTAAGACTTATATTTTCCGTATCTGTCCCTATTAATGTAAATCATTTCTTTAATACAGTGTGTTGCCTATTGAAACTGATCAAAAATACTCACAGGGAATTGGGTCCAAAGGAAGATAGAATTGAAATGACATGCCTGCCAGCATTTTTCAGGAGTAAAAAACACAAATTGTTATGATAGAATGAAATAGATGTATGTGGCGTGGTAATGAAAATAACATTGTTATGCTAATCTATTGTATAAATATTAATTTCATAATCAGCAAAGAATCTTGTAGTGCTATAAAGATTAATTTCATTATGACACAAACCTTCTGTAGTCCAGTACAGTGAACACCACAATACATTTACTTGTGAAAGTGCTGAAAGTTTCTTTGCTGTTTTTCTTCCAGCAGACTGACATAGCTAGTTACTTACCACTCTATAAAGCCTTAGTAAGCTAAGAATGCTAGATTCTAAGATGCTAGAATACTGCATCCAGTTTTGGTCTCCACACTACAAAAAAGATGTTGAGACTCTAGAAAGAGTGCAGAGAAGAGCAACAAAGATGATTAGAGGACTGGAGGCTAAAACATATGAAGAACGGTTACAGGAACTGGGCATGGCTATTCTAGTGAAGAGAAGGACCAGGGGAAACATGATAGCAGTGTTCCAATATTTGAGGGGCTGTCACAGAGAGGAAGGGGTCAACCTATTTTCCAAAGCACCTGAAGGCCAGACAAGGAATAACGGATGGAAACTGATTAAGGAGAGATTCAACCTAGAAATAAGGAGAATTTTTCAGACAATGAGAACAATCAACCAATGAGACAAGTTCCTTCAGAAGTTGTGGGAGCTTCATGACTGGAAGCTTTCAAGAAGAGACTGGACTGCCATCTGTCAGAAATGGTGTAGGGTCTCCTGCTTGGGTGGGGGATTGGACTAGATGACCTACAAGGTCCTTTCCAACTCTGTTATTCTATTCTATTCTATTTGGTAATTGTAGAAGGTGTGTAATTTCATGATATATATTTTATTATGCACTTTCAGATTTAGAATGTAAAACAGTTACAACTTTGCATTGATATGTGCCTTTATATAGCCACACATTTTCAGATAAATATCCTTAAAATAAGGGTGAAATAAGTAAAAGCATGAAGAAGGAAGAATGTAAGGAGGCAGTTAAGCTCTGAACTAATATAGCTCTTTCATTTTTATGATATTTATTAGTATGGCTTTTTATATTTTATACTGTTATTGTTTTATTTGATTTTTTTGTGCCTCTCAGAATTGCTTTTGGTGAAATGGTAGCTATAAAATTATATAAATTAATAAATATATTATATAAATTAATAAATAATAAAATAAATAAATGCAGTGGAGTGAAGACTACATAGGTAGCTTCCATGGGAAAATTATCTAATATTTATTTCTTTAAGCCATTTTCCAGACAAATATATGTAAAGCATTAAAAAGGGATTGAAATGTAAACATATGAAAAATTCTATGTCACTTACAGTAAAGCTAGGATGGAGAGACAGAGTAGGGAGGAAAGACTAGGCCCATGGTGGCGAACCTATGGCACGCGTGCCACAGGTGGCACGCAGAGCCCTCTCTGTGGGCACGCGCACCATCATCCCAGTCCTAGGCCTTCAGCTGGGTTTTATAAAAACTTTTCGCTTTAGGCGTCCGCCGTCGTGTGCAACAACAAAAAAAGGTTCAATCAATCAATTTCAACTTCTTGCGGGGAAAAAAAGATCTCACAAAGTTGGAATTGATTGATTAAACTTTTTAATCCCACCCAGTCTGCCGTTACCAATGCAGCCATGCCCACCCAATGGACCACACCCACCCAATGGGCCACACCCACCCAATGGGCCACACCCACCCAGCATCTGACGATACATAAGTGGGTTTTGGATTGCAGTTTGGGCACTCAGTCTCTAAAAGGTTCGCCATCACTGGACTAGGCTCTCCTTAGTCACTTAGAAATGGTACAGTAATTTCCAAAATAACATTAAGCTGTTTGAGTTGCATGTGAATAGCTCTCTTTTAAAATGTCCAATATATATATTTCACTTTGAGATCCAGAAATGACATGATACATATAGATACAGCATGCGGATGGTAAATTTTTATAGTTTAACCTGAAAAACATTCATGAAAATTATCTTGCAGAAATTTTCACAGAAGAAATGAGATGTACTCAGAAAGACTCTGACTCTTTTTTTCTTGTGCCCAGTAATGTTTGTTTACCATTATCTTAAGTTAAGATACTGAGATTTGTTCCCCATATCTTATTGTGCCTTCATTACACTAAGAGATATCAAAGACATGCCGTGCCAGCTTTTTAGAGTGCACACCCTAAATTAGTTAAGTATCTAAAGCACAGGTGTCAAGCCTTTGCGGAGGTGGGGTGGGTGTGGCCTGCGCATGATACATCCAGCCCGCCGGCCGCCAGTTTGACACCCCTGATCTAAAGAGGTCTCACTAATGCTTTCCAAATTAATTCATAAAAAGTCCCA